ATTATTAATTTTATTATAAAACTATAAGTTCCACTTAAACTTTATCTACATAATTTCAACAAGCAAACCATCATTTACATATTATATGGCATTGGTAGTCATCTGTTGTAGGAACGATCTAAAGCTAGTGACAAGAATTAATAGATGAGGATTTAGCTTCTGTTTCTTTATACACCTAAAAGATTGTCACAAGCACAGTGCTTGTAAGAATCTTTTGGGGAACGCCTACATTCAGCAGTGGACTTCCTAGGACTTAAATTGCAAGCTTTTAATACGTTTTAGATATCTGTGGAAACTTCATTGGTTTTAGGATTACTTTTATATGTTTTATAATTTATTTTTATTGTACTGTATGTTTCCCTAAAAAAGAAAATAAATTAATTAATTAATTAATTAATAAAGGTTGTAAAATACCACGGGGAGTGCTCTGAGTAATTGTTCGGACTAATTCCAGCCGCACAGTTTCACCATCGCACATCGCGACAAAACTCGCGATACCATCCCATACCATCTGGACGACTGGCGGTCCACCACTAAGCGATTTAAAAGAACTTTTCTTCCTCACACAACTTCCTTGTGGAATCAACAACCACCAGAGATTTTTCCGGACCGATACGACTTAGGGACCTTCAAGAAAAGAGCCTATTCCTTTTTAAAAGGCCAGCAACGCATCTGCAATCCCCCTGGTGTTGCAGCTGTACATGGGCGACGGTAAACACTTACCATCAGATGAGCGGTATGCTCGTTTGCCTCCTGTCCCATAAAAAAATAACTATTATATATAGTATGTAGTCAATAAACAATATTTATTAATTCACAAACTGCAATAGTATTTCAAATATGACCGTATCTACATAAGTTTGGACTACAGATTAAGCAAGTCTATTCTTTTTGAGCAAACAAGTTTAAAATTACAGAGTATATTATATATTTTTATGTCTATACAAAATTAATATTGTCTCACCGTAACTTTCATAAGCTTCAAACGAACTTCATGAAAATAGCTCATATAGTGTCCAGCTAATATGAAAGGTTTGCATACAAGCGCCACGGAACGGGTACGCTTTATGAGAGGCTACAGAGAAGCCTGTGGAACAATACCCTCCCACAGGACACAAGAGCCATATTGAAAGCCCTGGAAAAATATTCTCCCGACAAAAGCCGGTCTAGACTAGAATGTCGCTATGTTTGGAATTACAAGCGATTTAAAGTAGACAAAGAATTTAACCCCATTCCTATAACTAATGCTTCACGATTGTTTTCCTATTTGTGAGTAACAAATCATTTTATAGGTATAGACAATTGAAGTATTTTTTATTATCTTTGTAGGCTTGTTTAATTAAGTTTAGCCTTGCTGTATGTTGTGGATAACATCTCTGCAGAGTATCAATTATGTTTGTTGTATTTTAGATTAGTTACGTTTTTGTTAACACGCATTTGGTATTCCATGTTTGGGTTATTACAGAAATGTTACATTTTACTTAATAACTGTCATTAAAGAAATTGACATAGAACTATGGACACTTTATTCATTGGTAACTCAGAGTAATTACAAACATAACTTGTTTTCGGCCAAGGTTTTTAGGATTACCCCAAATTGTGTCATGTCATCAATCTCAAGCCCTAAGATACAGATTGTAGATACATAAACTCTCACGCCTGTCACCCAAAGGGGTAGGCAGAGACTACAGACTTCCATTTGGCACGATCCTGACATATCTCTTTCGCCTTCTCCACATCCATACACCTACACATACATGCTCGTCAGTTAAGGTTACTCTTAATTTGGCCCATTTTCAATATATCGAGAATTTGGTCGATAAACTTTCGCCTAGGACGTCCCTTTCCGACTCTGCCGTTCACTTCTGCAACATAAATTTGCTTTTTCACTCTTTCCTCATTCATTCCTTCTACATGACCAAACTACCGAAGCATTCCTTTCTTAATCCTCGTCACAGCATCATCTTGCAAACTACACTCTTCTCTTATCACACAATTTCTCACGACCGATGTATTATAGATTGATGAATAGTTTATTACTTTATGGCAAGATGGTAAAGAAATAATAGTAATATATAACTCTTAAAACTCGGAAATAAATATTTGCGTAGTTTATAATATTTAAAGTTACTCGTTTCTTGCCAATAAGCGAGAGAAAAACGTGCTACAAAAATTTGTGTTAATATTTTCAAAATAAAAATATTTCTATCCGTTTTAATATTTTTAAAGACTTCATTCATTATGCTTTAGTGAGCTCTTTACTTACTCTGGTTTAGTTTCAGTGACATGAAGCTCGTTGCTCCCAAGACGGCACGAGACTTTTGAATTAATAGTGAAATAGCTGACGGCTCATGACGCTTACACATACACGTTATACTTGGACGAGTATTCCCTGCTGCAACTTCCTATTGACCTAAAAACGCTATATCTGAAAAATGATGAATTTCATATTCCGTGTCGCAATCGAAATATTCATTACTTCGAATATTGGCCTCCGTTTTAACGATGCGACTTTTATCTAGGTCGTCTTTTCATTTTAACCAAAATAAAAGCAGTTCATTTAGAAACTATTTACTTATTTTAAGTACTGATGTTTATCAAATATCAGCGTAATAAAAATTTTACTTTTAATAACCAATTCATTATTTTTACTTTTAGTCCGTTATCCATAAACTATCTCTACACAGTGTAAAACAAAGTTGTTTCTCGCCGTTTGTACGGTTAGATCTTTTAAACTACGCAACGGATTTTGATGCGGTTTGCATCAATAGACAGAGTGATTCAAGACGAAGGTTTATATGTTTAATACATGCATATGTTGTCGAGATCCAAAAATCACCCGTGCATGCGAGAGGATGGCTAGTCACTTAGTTTAGTTTAGTTTACGACGGACTGTTTTCCGCAACTCCACGTCTAAGCGCGTATTTTGCGTGTGGGCAGAAATAATGTGGTTATTTGAGCCATGATATCTCCCCGAAGAAGTTCAACAGTCCTTTGATGTTGCAAGCAACTTCGGGGAGCGATCCCGGCGTGCCGAGATGTTTAGCTCTGTAGGAAGCGACTTCTGAACATGTCAGCAACACGTGAGCCGCCGTTTCTTCCTCTCCCATGCATGCTCTGCACAGGCGGATGCCAGTAACACCTATGGTAAACAAATGTTTGTTAAAAGAGCCATGTCCTGTAATAGCACCTGTTACTATCCTGATCTGTGGCTTGTTCAGTCTCATTAGAACCTTGGTTAGACGACTGTTTATTTCAGGCAGGGCCTCCCTGGCTTATCTACGGTCTACAAAATTTTTCCAAAGCTGAGAGTGTAAATTATTGAAATATCTACGTACCAGTGAACGAACGTAGCTAAAGGGAATTGGTATTATAGGTTCCGGCCCTATGGTTGCCAGAGCCGAGTCAGTCGCTAGTCACTTATAAAATGTCCGTTATCGTGGGTGTCGTAAAAGGCGACTATAGAAAAAATTAAAAGGCCCTGACCTCTATTACACAATAATGTACACCCAGTCTCTATAAATAATGTTGGTAAAAGGGTGGTGTCACTCTCCACAGTGACAGCTTATATAGTCTGCTTTTAGCTTTTAGTCCTGTGTTAGGACTTAAAGCTATGCAAGTATTTATGTTCCGTGCTCGCACTCTTTTGATCTTTCTGTTTTTGATTAACCTCTTTTAATTTATCAAATGTCTAACATTATAAAGTACGAGAAAATCTTGAATTAAGCACCCTTTTATCCAAATAGGAAAACCTTGATTGCATAATAGAACTGGTTTGAAGAACACAACCACATCATAAATGTGAGATTTAATTGTACCGCTTCTCACCGTGTACGACTCAACGTAGGTCAGTCACGAACTCTTTCAAGTCATAGGCAAAAATAAAATCTGCCGTGACTTCCTCGATATATAAAGCGGTATAAACAACAAAATAATTTTTATGTGTCGTCGCTACATCGTATCATTGCTTCGATACAGAATTATTTTTTTTTTAATTGAGGGTCTCGTTTCCTTAGCTTTTTTAATATAGGATGGGGTACCAAACGAGCACACAGTCCACCTGATGGTAAGTGGTTGCTGTGGCGCATAGACATCTACATCTATTCTCGATTACGAGCCAAAACGCAGATGCGTTGTCACCCGTGAGGACTAAGATGAAATGCATCGTTTCCGGTAAAAAAGGTCTCCATTTCTCTACACTCGACATACGAAACATGGCAGCATTAGCTGCTATTTTACGCTGGTATTCTGTGAGACCTACCACCCTATTTCTTATTTCTGCCGTAAAATAAAAGTATATGGAGAGCTAATATAATGGCAGACTGTGAGGCATTTCATATTATTCCTGACGCGTCTCTCGCCTTCTCTGTTTGAAGTTGGCTGCAGATTATGATAGTTTTATCTCGCAAAACACCAGCATAAAATAGTAGATTAATGCTGCTGTGTTTCGTATGGTGAGTATAGCAAACCAGAGACCCTTTTTACTGGATGCGAGGCACTTCACCTTAGTTCTCAGCGATGATAACGCATCTGCAGTTTGATTTTTAATAGAGGATAAATGTGTCTATGTTCATACCAATTGAAAATCGGTACATACAATATTCGATGCCTAAGCGATATCGATATCAATTCTTTAGAGTTGGTAGTATTTTAAATAATATATATATATATATATATATATATATATATATATATATATATATATATATATATATCAAACATAGAGTTTATCACATTTTTAATTTCCCGCTATGAAAATCAATTCACTAACCAGGTGAGGTCAATCAACTCATCAGGTGGACTGTGTGTTTGTTTGTCAACTTTAATCTAAATAAAAAAATAGTTTTATGTGTATATGAATGACAAATTTGTCTGGTTATAAAACTTTAATTATTATAATAAGCTCCCAAACGTAATCATCTTACTTAGTTTATGGCGGTAGTTTAATAATATGATAAAGTTAAATCTTTGTATTTGTCTTACTATGTGATGTTTTACAGGAACCCCACCGACGATAGTTCTTCCGCCTGGCGGCGGTTACTGGGTAGATGGAGTGGACGATATCCCCCCTGATGGCGAGGAGAGCGAGCCCAGAGCCCAGCCGGGCACACCCAGGCAGACGTCCAGACGGCACAACATCGACACCGACGACACCGCCAAGTATTACAGGCGATTCTTCCTGGGCAAGGTAACATGTTCTTTTTATTACCTGATATTTTTTATATTCAACTAAGCGTGAACGAGCACAAAGTGTACAGTAGTTATTGGATGCTCTAGTCAAAACCACATATTCTCGATTAAGAATTAAAGGAAGTTGCGTTGCCACCCAATCAAATGTCATATGAATGAAAATATAATGCTGCTAATTTACGCTGGTATTATATGCGAGTATGTTGCTATTCTAAGTAAAGTACCACCTTTCTTTATCCGTATAGTTGCGCTGTAAAATATCTATTACCCCTTATCGTCCCATGTGTGCCGTAACAGGCGACAAACTGAAACATATGCGCAGCAGCATCTTCCTGATAAAAACACAAAATAATAGAAGAACTGCGTTAGTTGCCTGCTAACCGTGGCAACTGTGGCACAATCAACCGATGGGCCTCCCTATGTTCAGCAATGGTTTATTTTATGGTTGTAATGGTCCTCCGATCGAAACGACCCATACATGCCACGACATCATACCTCATTGGCTAGTGTGTTGGAATTTATTATCCTTGTTTGAATATGATTAAATTTCAAAGTAATCTTTTTGAAACATTTTTCTTTTTTGAATACCTAAGATGTATTTTTATAGTGATGGTGAGTGCAACCATGTATGTCTGTGACTGTGCGATCATTTCCTGCGCAGTTGATGGCTTCCTATTAAATATTATAAATAAAAGTTGTTAGATATGGTCAAAATTGATGTTTATTTCTATATATATTTTGAAATTTTATAATTATAAAATGTAATTTATAATTATAATAATACAATATAATATATAAAATTTCAAAACTTATAGGGTGTTGAATAGGACTTTAATATGGTTAAAATTACTGTTTTGTTTTGCTTTGTAAAGAACCCTTGTAAAGTCGTTTCTCCATACATGTACCTGTGGAAGTACCATGACTAGGAGGAACTTGCTAAGTGTTTTTTATCCACATAACTGAAATTACTCAAATATATATTAAATTATTGTGCTTACTCATATTAGCTTTATTTCTACATTATATAAAAATGTCTATACAATGTACTCTCTTGATATAATAATATTTTTAAAGTATTTATTGGTACAAACGACCAAGTAATAAAATAAAATTTTAATTTTATAAATACGTTGAATATTTTGTATATTGTGGTATTCTTGTTCTTATTTACAAAATTCTTTTTACGTTGAATGTATAAACGTCTTTTGCTGTTATTTAATAGTAAAAAAAGGATCAACAGATTTTTAAACAGCGATATTTTTTTAATTTTTAAGTCTTTCAAAACGGAAGCAACGCAGATTTCGTATTCTGTATGTGACGCCACGCCGCGTCGTCTGCAAGGAACGTGAAACTAAATCAGCTGTAAACGCAAGATATGCAAACAATTTCAGCCTTTTTATAATTTTTCGAAACACGTTGATTTATCACATTCATCTTGACATCGTAAACGGAGAAACAGGACGTTACCTGTTCTTCGTACATTACATCAATGTCAATAGCCATTTATACAGTGACCTCGCGATCTTGTAGACCTCACCATACTTCGAGATCAAGTATCAGTTCCTTCCCACTAGTGCTAGACTTAATGTAATGTTTTTTAATTAATTACTACAGTCCATAAGTACTAGGGCATTTTTGTGTAAATGTATGAAATAAACTTGTAAAATTTTTCTTCATTTTGTTAATTTTATTTGGAAACAGCCTTATATAAAATTTAACAAAAAAAACAATTTAAGTTTCTATGTTTGTGAATACTTCGAAATCCATATATAACAAAATGTTTGTAACAATATGTCACCTTTGTAGCGATTTCGCCCTTAAGAGTGTTGTGTTAAGAATCTACATGTGCAATATTATAGATTTCCAATTCTTTTCCTTCCTATTTTTATATAATGCGCTTCATATGCTCTTTTCTGTACCCCAACAAAAAGCAAAGCTAAAGACTGTGTTTTATGGACAAATTACTTCTCTTCTTTCTTTATTTTTTAAGATTTTACTTGTTAAATATTGATTTTAGCAACTAATTTATATTTAGTTTATAATTTGTTTTAATTAGAGTAACACGGTTTTATATTTGAAAAAAGTTTGAAATACGTTATGAGACGTAAACTTCACACGATGCGTATCCTCCGTCGTGTTAGGAGTAGGGTACGTTTAATATCGCTCGGTACAGTTACTAACACGTGTGAATTCTCCCATACCCACGCCCACTAGGCTTACTTTTTCTTCTTTTTCATATCATTATCTATCGTCGTAATTGCCAGTCTAAATAGTCTACAGATAATATATTTCGTCCCCATGTTAACTCTCTATTATTATTCATTCAATATTCATTAAATATTCTACAGATAATGTATTATAATAATATCTCATCTCGATCCTTCCTATTCTTTATCGACATTTGTATTTTATTTTAATTTTTATATTTGACATAATATCATCATGATGCTATAAGGCAATATAAGAAGAAGGCCAATGTTGAGTAGTGGACTTTGGATAGATTGTAAACTGTATTTTTGTAGTTGCAGGCTGTATGAATTTATTATTGGTTTTTAACATATTATTATGCGTAGGTAGTACTTAAATTAAAAAAAATACTAAAATCCACCAATTAAATTGGTCGCGGTGCAGCGGAGCGGTTAAGGGTCCAACCGCTCGTTACGAAAAAATCCCACAAACTACAGTGGGAAAAGTCGGCGGTGTTCAGCAACGCGGAACGGCTTGGTTTCACGCCCAGTGAGCCAAGTCTCATGCACTGCGTAGATCGGACCGATTACTGCAGTAGCAATTTGATCCATGTTCGTGTGTGCTTGCCTTTATCGTACGAACAAATCAGCTCAACCCTACGTAATTCGAAAATTATCAAATCTCTATCGAGTTTTAAGTCAACAACAAACGGACCGTGCTGAGCAGTGGGTCTTGGATTCGAATCTCAGTAATGGCACTATATAGCGGTTTTCTGGTTTAAATTTTTGTAACCGTCCCTATTAGCATTCGCTGTAAATTTCACAGTACACGAGCAAACGGGGTTCGATCCCCGTCAGCAACAATGAAACTGTTAATTGCAATTTTAAGTACTGATTTACCACGTGCTCGGCCTGGAAGGAAAACATCGTGAGGAAACCTGCATGTCTGAGAAATAAGAAAAAATATTTCGAAGACATGTGAAGTTTGTCAACACGCAGCGCGGCGGATACTTCCTTGCCCTTAAACCCACATAAATCCTATTCCCAGCAGTGAGACGTATATATGATGTAAATTTTAACTTTTCCTATATTTCTGACACTACACTAGAAATATTTTCGTTTGCTTTTTTTTATATAGATTGGTTAACATGCGCTGACTTATGGTCATTAGAGTTCCACTTTGTTCTGTACCCTCACTTACTTTAGGTATTTAATGTGTTTTTAATGGAATTTATTGTATTTTAATTCTGATTGTCGGCTAAAATTATTTCAGTTTATAACTCAATTTTTGCACACGTTGATTGTAACTATTTACTCGCAAGTTAAATAGGTAAATACTGGATGCGACGCAATCCAATATACAATAAGGTTGATTTCCCACGATGAATAGTTAAAATTTACTCTGTTGTACCTACTATTTTATAGTATTTTTAATCTAATTAAAATTTAAGCTAACGACCTACGAGGGTGGATTGAAAAGTACTCGGCCTAACCAAGAAAATAAACACATACTAAATCAATTATATTTTTATTTTTCTACATAATCACCATCAAGTTCAATACACTTTTGCCACCTCCCCTTCCAAGCATTTAGACCGTTGAAAAAAAAATGATTCTTCCTTAGAGTCAAAATATGCGTCTACAGCTGCTTTGACCTCGTCGTTTGTCGAAAATCTTTGACCTCCCAAGTGCTTTTTTTAGGTTAGGGAACAGAAAGAAGTCTGATGGTGCCAGATCAGGTGAATACGGCGGATGCGGTAACAGTTCAAAGCCACAGTTGTGAATTTCAGCCATTGACTGTACTGACGTGTGAACACGGGCGTTATCTTGATGAAACAGGACTTTTCTTCTGAGCATTCCTCGACGTTTTTCTTTTATTTCCTCTCGTAAACGACGTAGTAAGGTGCAGTAGTAATCAGAGTTTATAGTCTGACCCCTTTCAAGATAATCAATCATAATCACACCTTTCGAGTCCCAGAATACTGAAGCCATCACCTTATTTGCCGGCAAAATCGACTTAGCCTTTTTAGGGGGTGGTGAACCAGGTCTTCTCCACTGTTTTGATTGTTGTTTTGTTTCCGGTGTACAGTAATGAACCCATTTTTCGTCCATAGTAACAAAACGATTCAAAAAATCATCTGCATCGGCTTCAAATAACTCCAAACAGTCGCGTGAAATAGTCAATCGCGTCCTTTTTTGTTCAACTGAAAGCAGTCGCGGAACCAACCTCGCAGACACCTTGTGGAAACCCAATTCGTTGACAATGATGTTTTGAGTTCGTTCATAAGAGATGCCTATAATCTCGGCTATCTCTCTAATTTTTAATCTGCGGTCTCCCATTATTAAATCAAGTACTTTTTTAATATTTTCGTCAGTAGTTGACGTCGAAGGCCTTCCAGAGCGGGGTTCATCTTTCACACTCTCTCTACCACGCTTAAATTCTGCTATCCATTTTTTGACGGATGAATATGACAGAGCACAATCGCCTAATGTACTGACCATGTAATCATGGATGGCTTTTGATGATAGCCCCTTCTTATGGAGGTACTTAATGACGGCACGCTGCTCGATTTGCTCCATTCGCGGAAATTATGTCCGATTACTTTGTTAATAAATTTATAAAATCACAACTAATTATCGCACACGTTTCGAACTTCACACAATGAACTAGTCTGAACTGAACTAAATAATGTGGGTAGATTTGATTTTTAGAATTGAATGGATCTGTGTTAGGCCGAGTACTTTTCAATCCACCTAGGTATTACCATGAAACGAGTAAACTATTGCATGGTTTCAGACTTATATGCTATTC